ATCGATGTGAGAAACATCAATCAACTGGGGATCAAACCCACAATCTGAGTATGTGCTCTGACTGGGAATCCAAACTGCCACCTTTCAGCATATGGGACAACACTCCAACCAACTAAGCGACACCAGCCAGGGCTGACATACTCCTTCTTAAAGAATTCTTCGAGGTCAATCTTCATAGTCCCACTATAACTGCTCATGGAAGTCAAAGTCACAGTCTACTGTAATTCTCTGTAGAACATTTATTATCTGATGCTTTCTTGCTCATTTGTCAATTAATTTGCTTGATCCCTATTCCCTATAAGCACTTTGCAGGTAAGGTCCTTACTTGTTTTTGTTCCTCCAATGCATCCCTATAAACTAGAAAAATGCCCCAATAGGCACTCCATTATTTATTAAAAGAATGAATGTGCTACCAAAGAACATTCATTGAATATCTGTGTGTCAGACCATCTATATATCATCCATTCCCATCCTCATAACAACCCTACTAGATAGATAACTAGAGCTCTAATTCACACTTGAAATTAAGGCTTTGGGGTTTGCCACAACCATTATTCCACACAAGCATCAGAGGAAGGAATCAAATGAGGCATGATAACAACTTCAAATCAATTGAGCTTAGTCCACTTCTGAGGCTATGGTCACACTTCTACTCCTACATTCAGTTGAAAATGCTCATTGTCCTGTATTTAGGAAATCATCCAATTTAATATGCTGGAAATGCATTTCATTTTAGTTTCTAGAGATAAAATCCAAACCAGATAGAATTTCTGATGCTTGAAATAGAAGTATTTGGAGAGATCTTTGGATTTAAAATTACATTTGTGATTTCATCTCATCACAGAATCAGGAGATTGAATAAAACCTCTGGGACCAACAACAAACCACCACAATTCAAGCATTCCAAATAGGCAGGGTGTTTGAGATCAAAAGCTAATTTCATTTAAAATGCATGTAATTAACCCAAGAAATGATTTAAAGTCTAAGCATTAAACTAAGACTAGCTTAAGCCATTGGAGAAGACAGAGAATACTTTCAATACAGTTTGAACTTTTAATTTTCACAGAAGTTATTTTAATATAAAGTATATTTAGTTTATTAAATGAATATTCTTAGAAAGATTTCAAAAACCAAATTTCTTTAATTTATTCCTTAATACCTTGCAATGTACTCTATTACTAGAAGTAATTCATATATATTCATATGATACATTCATATATAGCTAGACAGATATTTTCTAATAAAAAAAACTCTGCAAATAATTCATCTCTGTCAAAATTATGATGAGATTTTATTTTAGTTATTTTTAAAATTAAATTTATTGGGGTGACATTGGTTAATAAAATTATACAAGCTTCAAGTGTATAAGTCTATGATACATGATCTGTATATTGCATTGTGTGCCCACCACCCAAAGTCAAATCTTCTTCCATCACCATATATTTGACCCCTTTTCCCCTTTACGACCTCCCCACCCCCCTGACTCAATTTTTATGACAACTGCAAACCCAAATATTTTGGTATTGGTACATTTAATTCTTCATGCCTTTAACATCTGCATACACATCATAGCCAAACAGAAGGTTTCTGAGAATATTATAAGCACAACTTAACTATTCTAAAGAATATTTTTTCCTTTACATTCTAATTATTAGCTCTTAAACTTAGTTTTTTGAAATTAAATTTCTTAACGGAATTCTAACATCAACCTTGATTTTTAGGTATTGCTAACATTTTCAATATTATCCATCATTTGCATTTTAATTATAAATTACTTACTTCCAAAGACATGAACCCACCTGATTATTGGTCTCTTCAGTGTTTTCTTTTTTTTTTTCCCCCTTTCTTTATTTTTAATTGAACTTATTGGAGTGACAATGGTTAAGAAAATTATACAGGTTTCAGGTGCAAAATTCCACAACACATCATCTGTACACTGTATTGTGTGTTCACCACACCAAGTCAAGTCTGCTTTCATCACCATCCATCCCTCCTATAGCCTTCCCTCCTTTCTTTTTTTTTTTTAATTTTATTGTTCAGATTATTACAGTTGTTCCTCTTTTTCCCCCCCCCATAGCTCCTCTCCACCGGGTTCCCACCCCACCCTCTGCCCTTACCCCGCCCTCTCCCCCCCGACCCCCACCCCCGCCACTGTCCTCATCCATAAGTGTACGATTTTTGTCCAGTGTCTTCCCACACCCCCACACCCCTTCCCCCCCGAGAATTGTTAGTCCACTCCCTTTCTATGCCCCTGACTCTATTATATTCACCAGTTTATTCTGTTCATCAGATTTTTTATTCACTTGATTTTTAGATTCACTTGTTGATAGATATGTATTTGTTGTTCATAATGTTTATCTTTACCTTTTTCTTCTTCTTCCTCTTCTTAAAGAATACCTTTGGTGGTGATGAACTCCTTTAGCTTTTTCTTATCTGTGAAGCTCTTTATCTGACCTTCAATTCTGAATGATAGCTTTGCTGGGTAGACTAATCTTGGTTGTAGGTTCTTGCTATTCATCACTTTGAATATCTCTTGTCACTTCCTTCTGGCCTGCATAGTTTCTATTGAGAAATCAGCTGACAATCGTATGGGTACTCCCTTGTAGGTAACTAGCTCTTTTTCTCTTGCTGCTTTTAGGATTCTCTCTTTGTCTTTTGCTCTTGGCATTTTAATTATGATGTGTCTTGGTGTGGTCCTCTTTAGATTCCTTTTGTTTGGGGTTCTCTTTGCTTCCTGGACTTGTAAGTCTATTTCTTTCACCAGGTAGGGGAAGTTTTCTGTCATTATTTCTTCAAATAGGTTTTCAATATCTTCTCTCTCTCTTCTTCTGGCACCCCTATAATTCAGATGTTGGTACGCTTGAAGTTGTCCCAGAGGCTCCTTACACTATCTTCATATTTTTGTTGTTCCAGTTGGGTGTTTTTTGCTTCTTCATATTTTTGTTGTTCCGGTTGGGTGTTTTTTGCTTCTTCATATTTCAAATCTTTGACTTGATTCTTGGGATCCTCTAGTCTGCTGTTGGATCTCTGTATAATATTCTTTATTTCAGTCAGTGTATGCTTAATTTCTAGTTGGTGCTTTTTCATATCCTCAAGGGTCTCACTAGACTTATTGAGGGTCTTACTAAATTTATCGGCGGTTTCTAGAAAATTCTTGAAAAACCTTAAAACCGTGGTTTTGAACTCTATATCCAATAGTTTGCTTTCCTCCGTTTCTGTCATTTGTGACCAGTTTCTTTGTCTCCGCATTTGGGCTGCTTTCTTGTATTGATAGAGTGGTTTTCTGTGCCAGGTGTCCTATAGGGCCCAGTGGCTCAGCCTCCCCAATTACCTGAGGTGGACACTCTTGTGGGCTGTGTGCACAGTCTTGTTGTAGTTAAGCCTTGATTGTAGTTGGTATCACTGGGAGGAATTGACCTCCAGGCCAATTGGCTGTGAGATTCAGCTGTGTCTACGGTGGGAGAACTTCTGTGCTAGAGACACCCTTCTGGGGCAAGACTTGCTTCAGTGGGGCTTTGGTGCTCACTGAGTCTTCCCCCTGAGTGTGTCCCTTATGGATCTGAGGAGTTGTAATCTGGATAGTCCACTCTGACCACTGGGTACACTGGCTGTTGGATCTCTAAGGAGGTGCTAATTTAGCCTCTGCCTGGGGCTACCCAGCAGGAGCTACAGAGAGATCTGCAGAATCCTCTTCTTTGTTTGGGGTTTGGAGGTGCCCAGATGAGGCCCAGCTGTGAAGCAATGCAAGCTGCTGTGGGGCCTTGGGCCTTCTTTTGGATGATCTGGGTCTCTCTGACCCAGCTGCAGTTTGTTAGGTAATTTTAGATTGCAAAGGGCCAGCCCATTCATATGCAAAAGCCTCTGCGCACAGCTTGGGTGGGGCAGGGTCTCAGGGAATCAACAGGGCGGAGCAAACAGCTATGGCTGATCCTCAGCCCTGCCCTAAGAGGTCCCGGGTCTCAGTGGCCAAGGTAACTGCTGCAAGCACCTCTGAGAGAAAGCCACCCTCAAGTTCTGCCCACTGCCAGACAGTCCAGTTTCTCCCCATATGAGTCTGGGTCCCCAGAGACTCACCCGGAACTGGAGTCAGGGCCATTGGGAGCTTGTGTCTCCCTCCCAATTGAAAAAGACAACTGTGTCCTCAGTTGCCAGCCCTTTCCACGTGCGCCTCCGTACCGCTGCACTTTACTTCCACACCTCCTCTGAGTCTCAGTGTGCTTTTCTCTTTACTTCTAGTTGTAGAATTTCCACTCAGCCAGAATTCCTGTGGTTCTAGATGATGTCCGTTTTGTCTTTTAGTTGTATTTTTGAAGTGGTTGTGTGAGGCAGCAATTTCAGGTGTTTACCTATGCCACCATCTTGATTTCTCTCTTCAGTGTCTTGACCCACCAAAATATTTATATAATGACAGTGTGGGGTATTTTTCATATGCAAAATTCTAAATTTAAAGCTAAAAATCTAGAGAATCATCCATAGCTATGGATAATATTACTGAGGGGAAAAAAGACATGTCCAACATCACACAGGATTTACTATTACATAAAGTAAACGAGCCAGGAGGTCTTGGGCATTTTATAAATACATTCCAAGACCCCTGTGCTGGGTGAGGGTAATGCATAAGCAGGAAGTACCAGAAACGGAACAAAGGGTAAACATTGGACAGTTTCCCTAAACTGTGGTCAACTAGCAAACAATGTATGCAGGCTGAGCTTCAAAGGAATGTGATCACAAACAAATGCAATTTGTAGAAGAAATAAGCCAAGAAAGGGGATATATGAGGTTTTAGGGCACAAAAATCAAAACAAACAAAAAATAAATTAAATAAAATCTTCTAGCTGAAGGGAAACAGAGAGAGGTACTAAAGGTATGCGGAGGACATCACAAAACATGCTTTTTTTGAGCAAAAAATCCCAAACCTAATTTCTATAATAATTCCAGATAAGAGAACCTGTCATTTCAAAAACAAAGAAATCTAGTTTTGAAGACAATTTATTACTTACCAAACCTGCTATTGGCGTGGACAGTCTATTGATCTTCTTTATGACACCAGGTTTAAGCTTATTAATCAAACTGAAAGTGAATAAAGAAACAAGATAAGCAATTACAAGAGTGCCAATATCAATTTAATGTTCTTTTTAACATTCTCAAAAATCATATATGTCACTATTCCATCCCCAATATGTTATTCGGAGCTAAGAGCCCCACAGAACGCAAACAGCTGAGAAAACAATTCCAGAGTCAGAACAGTCTACCAACAATGGTGAGTTGTCCTCTTAGACCAGAGACATACTTCTCCATCCAAGGCCAAGTCCTTAAAATAGTGAGCTCCCCATCTATTAAAGAAAGGTAATATTTGATTGTTGCAAACTGCCAGTTTAAGAATTGCTTCAATATAATTTAATTCACTTGGTCCTAAGAATACTGTTTTCTATGAACCATTTTCATTGATTCTTTTCTCAAACCAACCCTTTTTTAATTTTATTTGTATGAAGATTGACAGTACTATTTATTCCTATTTACCCTTTTATATGAAAAATAAAAAACAAAATTAATGAAGTAATAAGTAATTAATAATGTTCATAGGCTCTTTCTTAGAGTTCAATATACTATATATATATATATATATAATCGATATGTATATCGATATATATATATACTTATGTAAACATTTGAATGTCTGAATGTAAACAGATCCCTATTTTAAAAGTTAATTTCAACGCTATATACTATTCTGTCATATTTAAAGGGTGCAGTGGGAACTCATCCTCATAGCCAACTAGTTCTTATGAGTAACTCATTCAAGTCCATGATTGATTGCTTTGTTATCATAGCAAAATGACTGAATGAAAAATTAAATTAACTGTGCCAGAACTCCCCAAAATAACCTGAAAGTTACCTCAAACTCTAACATTGAACAAATTTAAACTGCTATGACAATCTATAAAGATATATGTCTCCACGCTCTAGAATACCAAAATAGAACACAGCTTTGATGACTACAACTTGGAGTACAATTTTTGGTTCTAAATCTAGATTATTGTGAATTCTATTTTTTTGTGGTTCACTAGTACAGTGCCAGGCCACAGAGAAATTTAATACTAAAAGAATGCTTTTCTATTAGTTCTAGCGTGTTTAATTAATCATTAATTACTGCCATAAAGCAGTAACTTGAAACAATGACTTTCCACCCACAAAAAATAAATAAAAATTATTTATTCTCTAACTGAGCTCCACTAGGAAAGCAAAGAAAGGAGAAAAAAAATCAAACATTATTAATTCACTGGTCTCCTCTCCACAATAAACGACAGAAGAAAAAAAAAAATCTGACACTTGTGGAATGTCACTCGTTCAACATTCCAGAGATTTATATACACACTTGAGTGTGCTAAAAATAAAAAAGACAAAAGTCTCAATTTAATGACCTTCAGAATGTCGTTCAACTGGATTCAAAAGGGTGGATTATGAAGACTTAGTCTGGTGAACAAAAGATGTTTTTCTGTTTTCATAGTTTCTTGACACAAAGATCTTTAGAAAATTTAATAAAACCATCTCCTCGACTTTAAGCATTTTCTAGTAGTGTTAACTCCTTGATTCCTAATTTCTTATTTATTCACTAAAAGCCATGTGGGAATTGAACAGGCTTATAAGAAATGAGAGTTCCAAATTAACTATTCTAGCTGTTCCTTATTAACCAGGTATTTCTAAATTCCATTAAAGGTGGCATTCTTACAATGCATAGAAGTAACAACTGAAACTTTACTTAACAGGAACATATTCTGCACAATATAAGTCAAGAAACCTGTGGCAGTTGACCCCTAGCTTGGCAGTGACTTTCCAACAGTTAACTTGGATCTTAAAATATAACCTTCCATTGACATTAAATGTTGAAGACCAATATGAGACAGGGCAACGCAGAGATAGAATGTCAGGGAAGGCTAACATTCATGGTCCTTATTAGAGGAAGAGTGTCATACATCCCGCCTCCACCCATTTGAGTCACTGGGGACTTTGTCCAGATCATTCCACTTACCTGTTTACTTCACTGATTATTTTTGTATTACAGTGTTGGTAATATCAAGAGCACTTTTTAAAAAGACAGTTTCTGGGATGGATAATACTCTCAATTAAGTCAGCCAGAGGAAGTAAGGAATTGAGGTAAAGAAAACAGCCGGATAAATATTGTCTCCCTGTAATGAGTTGACTCCTCCCTCATCAGAAGGTTCCAGAGCTATTACTTAGAAACAACAAATGCACAGTGGACTGGAGCCCCTCTCCACTCCTGAGCCTCCTAGTACAGGTACAAACTCAGAAATAACCATGGGGACAAACCAACACTCTGGATAACACACAAACTACCCTCTAAAAAGTGTATCACTAGAGAAAAAGGCTGTTTTATCTGTCAACTGTTAAAACGACATCAGTTCTAAGCACTAGGATATGGAGAAAATGCAGTTTGAGCAAATGCTGACCATCCATAAACAATTATTTTCATATACAATTAAAGGAAGACCTTCTAGGAAGAAAAATAGGTTTCAGAAAATTTAAATTTCTGTGACATTTAAATATATCTAAAGGAATGGGGCATAGTCTTATGTCAAATAAAATACAAGTATCATGCAAGAGAAATACTGTTCTCTTTTGCAAATAAAACTTCTTTGTATAATAAGTGTTCTTCGATTATATATGTTTCTAAAGGCAATACTGACTTCAGGTGACTGGCTCTATTGATGAATGAGCTAACATGATAACCTCCCAGATTCCTCTGAGCACAAGGGACCATTTCCTCCTCTTGCACCCCCATATCCCATCCCTCTAACCCCATGTAACATTACACAGCCACCGTGGCAAGCCTTCTCTCAGGCCATGGCAGGAACCTGGTGCTGTGCTCTGATAGCTCTCAGAGGCCTGCTCATTTGGTGAGATTAAAACCAGAACGGAAAACGCTGAGTCATTTGGTACCCCCCACAGTAGATCGCTCTCACAATTCGGCCTGCAAACCTCTCCTTCAGCTCATCGTTCCAGTTGTAGTCTACTTCCTTTTCCTCTCTTCCCCAAAACACTCCTACAAGGGAGTTCAGTTGCACAACAACAGATGCGAGAAAGGGGCTCTGTTCCAAACCCTTGTCGCCGGTGAATGTGACATTGACCTGTAATGAAACTCAGAAGAGAGACTCAGAACTGCCCATGAAGCTCAATGTGATGTCCAGCTCAGGTATAGGTTTTAATCAGAATTTGATGCTCGGTCTGTTAGTCTCCGGAAATTAGTTAAAATGCCCAAACTCATTTCCCCTCTTATCGGGAAGCTCCTCAGCAGAAGTGCAAAATGTAGGGACATCTTTTGACTTCCTATTTCCAAAGATTTTCCAAATGCACCAGAGAGACTGACATCAAAGAGCACGTCAATCCACTGAGAGTGAACTTTTAAACTATAAATTATTTGGTTAGTCATTCACACATACATTACTAATATCTTTCTGTCAGCCATGTTTTTTACATATATATACCCCCACAGTAGTCAAACTTTTCCTATTGGTAACTAAACTTTTTAAAGATATAACTAAGAGATTACCCATTTCCTTACAATACTTGTTTTACCCATTATTTGACATTTTCTCATTTGTCCAGTTTTCTTCTAGATGCCAACTTTGCTCAACAAGACTTTGAATGCTTCCAAAAGATTCTAAACAGTGGTCAGCCACAGAGCAGCCAGACGGTGACAGTGCTACGCACACACAGGCCTGTCCTCCCAACGCAAACAGCACCTCCTAGCACCCAGCAAGCTGCCTGGCATTTAGCAGGTGCTTTAAAAATACTAGCTAAAGTCCACTAACTTTTAATGCAGAATTTTTTCTGTTAATAATTCAAAACCTCTATCTTCTTTATAGAAACAACTTTACTAAAAAACCTTACCACTGGTTTCATTCAAATGCTAGGAATGATTTTTTTGCTTCTCCCAACAAGGACACCTCTCATTTTTCTGTTGGCAGACAGAGGAACTTCAGTGTTCTCTCCTAATTGTCAAATGTTGATCAAGAGAGTAAACTCTTTATCAGATATATTAACTGGATTGGTTATCTTTTTTTATCATGTAAGCTGCTTTTTACTTTATTATATTGTCCACAGAAATAATATACATCTATAGCATAAATTTTCGTGACCTGCATATAGTCCCTTCTGTGGATGAATCAGAATGTACATTAAAATGTTCTATAACTGTTGGACTGATTATCTTAAATAAATTCCTTACTAAGATTTTAAATTAATTACTTCCTTCTAAATTCTTAAGCTGTAATATTTTTTAAATAATATTGTTGGGGGAGGCCCTGGCTGGTGTGACTCAGTTGGCGGAAGCATCATCCCATGCACCGAAAGGTAGCAGGCCCTGGTTAGAGCGTTGGTCCTCAGACCAAAGGGTCACGGGTTTGATTCCCAGTCAAGGGCACAGATCCCCCTCGATGTTTCTTTCTCTCTCCCCCTCTCTCTTTTCTTCCCTCTCTCCCTTCCTTCCTCCTTTTACCTGGAATCAATAAAAAATAATAATAACAACATCATTGTGGGTAGAGATGGAAGATGAATGGGAGATGAGTGGTGATGGGAAGTAATAATAAAAGAATAACAGTAGTTAGTGATGACGTTCCCATGGATAAAGTAACAAGCAGATTAATTTTAAATTTCAAAGTGTAAAAGCATTTGGTATACATATTTATGATAATTTTTAAGACAAGTAGTAAAATTAATGTAATTTCAATTTGTAGAATTCTTGTGGTAGTAATTCTGGATACTGCTGGATTACTTACCACACAAATACATAGTTACTGCATGCTAAAATGGGGAAACGGGCGAAACAGCACCAAGTCAGTACCAATAAAATTTATAATCATCACTTTATTATGACTGGACTTCCTTATCTTGCCTCACTGTTATGCCTGAAGCATCCATCCTGCAGTGAATCCAGCAAAACTTTAGGCATCTGACAGCAGGTTTCCTATTTCGAGCAACCTCAATAGTTAAAGTACTAATGGATCTTGCTGAATAGCCAGAAATTTCCCAATACATAACAATAATAAAGG